CTTTTTTGAACAGAGTTAAATTGCTGTGAATGGAGGTTTATACTAACTTAATTTTAGCTACTCAATCTATTAATATTTCTGACGAGAATTTTATTTTAATGGGTCTTTTATTTTTGCCGCAAATTTTTAATAAGGCTTTCAAACTTTCATTGTCTTAGAGCAATACTCAGACAAAACCATTTAGCTGCCTCAGAAGTAATTAAGTTTTGAGAAAACCTTTGGCAGCAATGTTTTATCTAAATGAACCAAATATAAATTCCATTATTCGCACAATAATATAGTTACAGCTTTAGAGAAATCCTCCTTCTATTTCCGGTGACGCTGACTAATGAAGCCTTTCCACTCTAAGTGAAACGTATTCCAACCCCACTCTATAAAAGTATTATTTGTAAACTAGTTAACTAATTTTGGCTTACTGTAAGGATAGTGTGCTGGACAATATCTAAAGTATTGCTCAAAGTAGATTTTGACACGAACTCGTCGTATTAGCTCGCATGAACTGCGCGAATTTTCTGCTTAATTAAGACCAAGTCAAATTTAAAAGCAATGTTTCTATTCACCCAATAAAGTATATGCACTAAACTAATATTCAAACGACACTGGATTTTTTTACAATGATTACTCTAGTTTTAGCAAACACAACGTCAATAAAACAAATATATTTATTTTTTTCCATATTGATTCAAAGCTCATCATTGTTGCAACTAAAAAACAAAACTCCTTGCGATAGATTTTTGAGAACGAAATTGTTGATGAAGTACATGACAATTTATTTCACAGTATGGTTCCAGGACAAAAGGGTTTTAAGACTTTTTTAGAGCATTGCAGCAGAAATTGTGACAGGCTTTGAACAGTTAGTCCAAAAAGTCTATAGGAGAGCTTAGGGGTTAAAGGTTACAGAATGCCAATTTAATTAGCCGCTACGCTTCTGAAAATGTGACAAACTAAGAAACGTTTGACTTCCTGCTGAACTACAGAAAAGCAGTGAATAATGAGGCGACTATTGCTTATTATCCAATCTGATGTCCTTCAGTTAGTATAGTAAGGCGTTAGATCTGAGAAAGATGTTATGAAGAATATAAAAGCGAGAGAACATATATAAAAATGAATTCCAGACAAGAAAATATTCTCTTGGCCGCTTTTAGGACCATAAGTCTTCCAAACCTTTTGCAAAATGTAAAGAGAGAATTTGTGAAAGTCAACCCCTTACAAGTGCAAAACCAAAGTGGTCACGAGCTAGCTTCTATGGTATTTTGTTGCAACGCAATACTTGTATAAAATCATTGCTAGTAAATGATCCCATAATGAAATATGATGACTTTTTGTTTTATACAACTTTACCAAATACATATTATAGAAAGTAAAATATAAAATATTAAAGTGTTGGTTCGACCTTGTTTTCGCAACTTGGTCGGAACGTCAGGGAGACCTTGTGGAACGTATCTAGTCCCGTGTCCTCTGCCATAGTATTCGTGATTTCTAGCATTAGACTATAGGCTGGGTACATTCCCAAACGTTTCGCCGGCATCGTAGTCGACATCGTCAGTGAGAGACACAATCGTAAGCACAGAGTTACAACTTATCAAAGTGACAAGTAAAGGCAATCTCTCCGACCAATTTTCTGTTCAACCGTTGCCTTCACTTGTCATTTTGATAAGTTGTAACTCTATGCTTATGATTGCACCACTCACTGATGATGCCGACTACGATGCCTTCGAAACGTTTGGGAATGCACACAGGCTATGGTTTAATGCTCGAAATCACGAATACTATGACAGGGGACACGGGACTAGGTATGTTTCACAAGGTTTCCCTGACGGTCCAACAAAGTTGCAAAAACAAGGTCGAACCAACACTATAATGCTAAAGAAGACTGCGACCAAACAGAAGGCCACACCATCATGGTCTTCATATCTACAATATAGAATAATATCTTTGCATGATTATTTGATGGATTCCGGAAGGGTGTCTTAATTCGGTGTTAAATTGAGAGTCTAAGAGATATGAAGATTATTGTCACAAGCACACAAGAGTGGAATCCTTAGATGAAGCCTAACATGAATGTCGTTTCATAAAGTTTTGGTCTTCAACACGTGTTCCTATTCCAAAAGCCATCGTGTATCATAGCTATGATGCTGCATTAATAATACAAAAACCTAATTTTAATATTGATATTTTATCTAGCTTATCGTTTGAGCTTTGAATATACTAGCATTGAATGCTAATCTAGTTGCGCGGATATAGTGTTATTGTAAAGTTAACATAGATACAGACTCTTATACTGTCGGATATATAACACATCTATGCTGATCACTTGTTCGCACATAATCAAGATGTTAGATAGATATAATTAGCTATTGTGGACAGGATTGCCGTACCAATGTTAATCACACACAACTATATCCGCAGTCTTGTATCCATATGCATTCATAACGAATCTATAGAGGCAAGCATAATGTACTCATGCACGAATACAGATGCAAAGTAACTTACAACTCGTTTGCCGCGTGGATAAGAAGTGTGCGATTGGCTAGATGACCGTCATGATTAATTTTGCCAGGCTCTCTGTACTCAGGTCAATTTACCTACAAAGTCCTCCTACGCCCCAGATTAAACATTAATTATATAAATATGCAAAACTGGCCAATAACTGGATCATTTTTCAAAAGCGAAGACAAATAAGTCTGCTCTATGCCCGAAAATGCATCGCCTCCAGAACTAGATGTCGCAAGATCTAGTGTTATGCCTGAGACCGTGGATTCTGAGGACGGTGACATATTGCCCTCGGCTTCGGATAAGCTAATCGCTGCATGCATCCGAGTTCGCCAGCATGCCTATTGCCCATACAGCCTATTTCCGGTTGGTTCAGCTGTACTCACGAAGTCGGGTGAGGTATTTGAGGGGGCCAACGTGGAGAATATCGCCTTTCCAAATGGTTGGTGTGCAGAGTGCAGCGCTATTGGAGCCGCTGTGTCCAGCGGTCAGCGCAAGATTATGGCTGTTGCAGTGACTACAGCTCGTGAAGCCTTCGTTTTGCCATGCGGCCGATGTCGTCAGGTGATTTCTGAGTTTGCTGAGCCCGGCGCTATGTTGTATTTGGTTAACGTGACCGGCAAGATCCGAGCAATGAGATTCCATTCCACACTCCCTCAGCCTCTGACTACTCTGAACTAATTCCACCAGGCACGTGTATATGCAGGCACTTCAATTTGTGTATTCAAGGCAAGCTGGCTCCTTAAACCAATCGGTGCCTGTAGGTCATAATTAAGTAAAGTTTCTTCGTGAAAGTCCATTAAGACAGAAAGAGATAATACTAACTTCGTAGCAAATATATTCTATCTTAGGATGCCTCAAGAGAAATCTATATTCGTCTCCCCCCTAAATCTGCGAACTTTTGTTTCGGCTTTTAGGTGCTGAAATTGATTAAGTTTTTAAATGTTTACCTTGGTTCAAAAATAAATCAACCAAACGTATACATTTTATTGTTATACTTTAAGAGTCCCGCTACCTCAAACTAAAGGCAACTCAAATTATTTTGCATACATTCGTTAAAAGTAATTGCTATTTATTTTTAACAGATTAAGTAAAATACTATTTTCACTCGTCTATTTTTGGAGATTTTATGGTAAAAATTTGCTGGGTAATGGATGTCATTTTGATTTTTTTTTACTATCTAATCTCGTTAAATAAAGCCTTAGTCCGATAATTTAGCGGGAATTTTAACTCTCTTACAAAAGATAGCGGTCATAGATGAGAGCATAAAATAAAGACTATGTAAGTAATTTGCTCAGCCTGGAAGGATCTATCTTCCCAAATAATTTCACTGTCATTAGATTAAAGACAAATGAGGGAGGATATAAAAGTATTCAAACTAAAATGGTTCTAAACCGGGTTTCATCAATAATTTCAATGATGAGTGTATATGTCATTTTTTAGAACCTAGAACCTATTATCATTCCAAAATCATCAGCATTCTTGTTAAGTTGATATCAGAATAGTTATAGGGACTGCACTTTCATTATAGAATGCATATAGAAAAAAATAAATATCAAGAAATAGCAACAAGTAGCACATTTCGGAGCGTCCCAACAACTAAATACATTGTACTTCCTGAAATTGTGATGGCAGCTATACGATTTAAGGAACTAAGCCTTAAAGTACCCAAGATTCACATATATGGATTATTTCTATGCCTTCGTCTTTTTAATGACCACTCGATTATAAAGATCTTGCATACATAAAGCACTTTGATAGGAGCTATATTTATCCTATTTTTTTAAAGTACTAAATAACTGGTAGTTGAATTTACCCATATTGCACTATCCAAGTTTGAGTCATGATAAGGGTGCTGATGAGGCCTAGGCGAGCTGGAAACTTCCGTCCATCCTGAATAAGAATACATTCTGGAAACGTTAGGCATACCCATAGCAATGTAAAGGAAATTTAAACGTCATTCTGTCATCAATAATGTGAATACAAACCTTAAATAATATCTATAATTGGTCTCAAAAGCCCACTTATAAACAGAAATTAAGTAATATGGTCGATATTTATAGTATATACAACTTTGCTTTGTCGACAATGCCTAAACAGAAATGTGATATGGGAATGGCCTAAAACTTTTTAAAAATTCACTTCTGCTCTGTGACTTAGGAGAACACATGGTGGCGTGGCGTATTGCTTAATGTGGCTAAATTATACGACACACTACTCGGGTTCGAGTCCCATGGAGGTGATGAAGAGAACTAGAAGAGTTCGAAACTACAGTCCACCCTGGATGAGAATACCTTTTATGAAGCAA